GTAACAAGTCGGAGCTTCGCGGATCCAAACGCGAGATGGCGTTGATCAAAATTTTTCGATCGTCACCTAACTTATCGACATAATTTCCTTTTTTAAATAATAATATGCAGATTAAAGAAAGGAATAGCCGATTATAATTTTAATATTCAAAAATATTTATTTGAGAAACTTCGTAAAAGGAAAATATGAAATATTTTGAAATTTATGAAATATAGGAGGAGAAAAAAAGATATAAAAATATACATAATGTAATATTTATTGTAATATATATAGATATAAAAAAGAACTTGATTAAGATAATATACAAGTACAAAAATTTGTGAGAAAATTATTATAAGAATATAATATAAAATATATAAAATTTAAAAAATAGCAATTATACAGGGGGAAAAGCAAAAGAATATGTAAATATACGCACATTAACCAATCAGTAATGAAATAAATCGACGCAAGAACGACTTATTAAATTGATTGAATGACTGTGCAAGAAATTCATTGCCGGTAATCCGACGATTCTTCGCAAACATCATCCACAGACGTTGTTGTTCATTTAAAATATCTGATTACGATCGATCGGAGTAACGGCATCGTCTTGACAAGATGAAACGCGGAGATAAAGCACGCAAGAGGAATGATAAACAACATATCATTTTAATTTCTGAAAAAAACAATTTGCTTAAATATTACTTGTTCCTTTTTCGAAAACAATCTTCGAATCTCGAAAGATATAGAAATAACGGTATTATTATTATTTCATTACTCGTCTCGTTGGTCGTTCACCTATTCTTGTTTTTTTTTTTTTTTTATCTCGATAAAAAGATACAAGGATTAGATCAGCGAATATATAACTAATAAACATTTTTTTTCTCGAAAGAAAGATTAAATTTTTATTACTCTTTTTCAGTTGATTTATATAAAAATTCGAAGGATGTAACACTTGTTTACGTGATAAAATCCCAATTTAAGCGTGTCATTCTCTGCCATGATGTCGAAAAACTGGAATATTTATTTTTTCTTTTTATTCGTTAACGGTTAACACGAAAATATATTTATAATATTAAATTTAACGATGGCAATATTCTCTAAAGAAGAACATATATATTTATGTTTTCTCTAAAAAACTTAATATTTCTCTTCATCCCCTTCAACGAAGATAAGTTTTAGATGATATCTAAGATTCTCGGCTATGTAATTCGAACAGAAGATTCTAGTACGAATTTTATCATATAGAGACATATAGAGTTTTAAACTAAGATCGATACCGATTGAAAGATACAAAATTGTAAAGTGGAAAAGAGAATTCTGGAAATTTGTTTATTTTGAGAATATGCGATGCATCAATGCTTTGATACACAGAATAAAATTTTCACTTCAAAGTGAGATACAAGCTCGAATAAATATTT